TTCTGAAGAAGGGTCTAGGCCCGAAACATCAGCCTTCCTGCTCCTCTGATGCTGCTTGGCCTGCTGTGTTCATCCAGCTCTACACCTTGTAATCTAAGTGTAGGAGATTACTTTGCTTTATAAACATAGGAATAAAGGAAGAATAATGTGTTATTCATCTGCCAGGACACAGTGTTCAACTGGGGCTTGTCCTTTAAAGGAGATAAAGACCAGTTGTCCATGGCACATTCTTAATTCAATTTAATGTAAATTGCTGATGGTAAGGGATGTTTGCAGATATTTTCTCCACTTACAAAGGGGTGTGTGGCCTTGGTTCAACATCTCATCAAACTTACTCCATACCACACTGGGATGCTGTGAGTGTAGGCCTAAATTATGTGCTGTAATTCCTGGAGTCAGGCACAGATCTGTTGGCTCAAAGGCAAGTAGGCTGCTACTCAGTTCCAACTGGAATGACAACAAAATACTACTTACCGATGTGTTCTGACACTGTACACTGGAGCTGTTGAATCGCAGGGCTGGAACCCGCTGCTCCACCCCATGGATGTTCAGGATACATTCGTAACCTCGCTGGCCTGACTGTGGCTGTGGAAGGTTTTTTGACTTTAGGGTAATGGGCTTCACCACTCCAACAGGCACCAGGACTTTCTCGGCAGCGAGCAGCTGTGGACAGTCCTGGAAAGGAAAGGCAAGGGAAAGTTCAAGATGATACGATTGTCATAATAAACATCTTCTTAGGTCAGGGCCCAGGCCCACAATGCAATTATGGAGGAAAAGAGAAGATGCAGTCACTCAGGGAGTAGGTAAAACTTCATTTTCCTTTGGTGATGGCAGTGGAGACTGGGTTTCTAGAACAGAATGAAAGAGAATTCCGAAAGAACTGCGGATGCTGTAAATCAGGAACAAAAACAGAAGTTGCTGGAAAAGCTCAGCAGGTCTGGCAGCATCTGTGAAGAAAAAAACAGAGTTAATATTTCGGGTGCGGTGACCTTTCCTCAGAACTGCTGTCAACTCCTCGATCCTAAGTCTGTACCTCCCTGTGTTTTAGATTCACTGACCACTGGAAACAATTTCTTAGCATCTTTCAAGCCTCTTCAGCATCAGGTGTGTTTCAATGAGATCGCCTCTCATTCTTCAAAAAGTAGGCTCAATTTACTCAGCCTCTCATTATTAGACAACTCCCTCGTTCTGGGGAGCAAGTTAGCAAACCTATGCTGTACTACCTCCAATACAACTATCTCCTTCCCTAGAGGAATGGGAACCACAAAGGAGAAGAATTTGCTCCTGATTAAACAACACCATGGTTTCAAAATTCTCCTGTTAGTTCTCAAATTAGTCTATGATCTTGCTCCTCCCCATCTCTGTAACATTCTCCAGCCCCTCCAACCTTCTGAGATCTTCAAGTTTTGCAAATTTAATTTTGCCTGAGCATCCTTGAATTTAATTGCCCCACAATTCGTGACTCTGCCTTCAGCTGCCAAAGCCTTAAACCTCTTCGCCTTCATGAACAAAATTTCCTCCTTTATGGAGTCCCTTAAATCCTGTCCGGCTGACCAAGCTTTTGGTCATCCACTCCACATATCTCATTACTTGGCGATAACGCAGTGTGGAGCTGGAGGAACACAGCAAGCCAGGCAGCGTCAGAGGAGCAGGAAATTTCTGAAGAAGAGTCCCGACTCAAAATGTCAACTCTCCAGGTCCTCTGATGCTGCCTGGCCTGCTGTGTTCCTCCAGCTCCATACTGTGTTATCTCTGACTCCAGCATCTGCAGTTCTTACTATCTCATTACATGGCTCAGTGTTAAATTCTGACTGATAACATTCCTGGGAAGACCCTAAGGATGTTTCATTACATTAGGGGGCAATATAAATACAAAATATTGTTGTTTGTATTGCAAGCTGTCTATTTAGATCTGACATGTAGTAATTATACTTCACGGCCAATGGTGACACAAGAATGGCAGCTCCTACCATAAAGTGTTCCAATGTTCACCTCTGTAAGAGACATTGCTTCTGCTAAATTGTGTCCCTGTAATGACACCCTCCAACCACAGGTGGCATTAACAGTTGTAAAGGAAACTGTTCCACAATGCTACCAGTGGCGGGAGATATACCCTCATGGAGTAGATAGGGTGATGTAGAAGCAAGGGTTAAAAACAGAGGGGGGAAGAAAAAAGATAAATAAATCTTAACTTCTCACTTTTAAAACAACATCTAATTAAAAGCAACTGTTGGCTAGCAGGGCCATTGCCATGGTGAAAAACCCCTTTGTAGTTCACTCATGGCTTTCGAATCTAGTCACGCAACAAAGCGGCTATTCCAGTCTTGTGTTCCTAATTTTACTAGGGAGCTATGAACTGTTTGGACAGTCCAACATAATACCTCCATAGCGAAAATAAATTTAAGAAAGGAGATGGCTAAATCCGTGCAACTCAACATGTTCCCCGAGGACTGACCCTGGCAGGACAAATCAGGCCACTCTCCCCGTTGTAGCTAATGGGGGCACACAGTAACATATGACAAACTCAAAGCAAGAGAGCAGCTGTGATATGAAAGAACACTTTTTGAAAATCAAATGCTTGAATGCATTTTGTCTCATGGCTACTTCGAGCAAATTATGTTGGAAAATAAGTGTCCCGATAAGACATGACTTGAAGTTCATTAGCTTGACTAAATTCTTCACTTTCCCAAAGATGGGGCCCACTTTGCATATGAAAAGGCTAAGAACAGAGAGAAAAGACCATCACAGATAAGTCTGAAGAGCCCGAATGAGGAACTGACAACTATACACAACGTTAGGTTTTATCAGCTTCACATGCCTGTCTTTTTAAGTAATTGAAATTTAATGAGACTTTATTCCTTCCACTGGGTTCACACAGTGACCCTGTAAGACAGATGGAAAATAAAATTTACAAAAACCATTTTTATCTCTCATATGTTTTATATATAGATCAAGGTTTTTTCTAAGGTCAGGCTGGTTAACACACATTGCTACGGCTCAACATATCTGTAAATCCATTGGATTCTTCTCATCTGTTTTTTTTAAATTCCCTTTCATTAAAATTTGTTTCATTTTCTTCTCTCCTGAATGTACAAGGACAAAGGCAGCCAGGGAAATGTTGTGGTAATAAAACGGTTTACAAGGCAGCAAGATAAAGCGAGTCATTTTATTATTATTCTGCAGCCTCGGCCCCAAAGGAGATATTTTGCTCCAGTGAAGCTGGTATTAAGAGGGGACTGGGTGGTAAAGGTGATTAGCGCACCAGTCTTTCACCCCACGATCAGGATTGTAATCTACCTTCAGGAGGTTATCTCTATTGTCGGTGTAAGGAAGCTCTGTGAAATGGCTCAAGGAAGCCTGAAGTCCAGTTTAGCTCTTCATCTAAAACCTTTGCCTATCTCTCAGATGACAGATGCTGCATGCGACCTTTTACTTTCAGATTTCCAGCTTTTAATATGTAAGATTCAACAGCTACACTCCCGACACTGACTCAGAAACCTTCAGGTTCAAGCCCCAGGGTACCCTCCCACAAGTAATACAATTCCATCGGTTGATATCACCTGCTTAACAAAAGGTAGGGCCAGTTTGTATAACACCAAGCGCATGAGCTTAGTCCCCAGATAGGTGGAGTTCTTTGAGCTGACCTCATCTACTGCCTCACAGTGATACCATGGTAACATTGAGCCATGATCAGCAATGCTCAGACAATGAGGAGGCTACAGGAAGGGAGAGAGGCTTAGCTAAATAAAAAAATAGAATTCCACATCTGATAGTCTGGTCAATTCTTCTGAGCATTTTCCATGATCTGAGTTCCTTCAATCTACTTTTTGTGGTCTCTCTTTGCAGTTTAGATTTTTCCTTTGAAGTCCACCTTTTGAAAGGCAGTCATCCCAAAGTATAGAATCACAGAATTGTCACAGCACTGAAAGATACCATTCAGTTCATTGTGCTTGCATCGGCACTTCAAAAGAGCATCATTGCCTGGTAACAATCTCCTGTTTTATTCCCATAACCTTGATCATCATTTCTATCGAAGTAATCATCCAGTGAACCTGCCTGCACCTCACTTCATGCAGCATATCCCATACCCTAACTATTCGCTGTGTTTTAAAAAAAGGCTTTTTCTCACATCACCCCGGTTCTTTAGCACATCACTTTAAATCTGTGCCCTCTCATTCTTGTTTCTTTTACAAGTGTGAACAGTTTCTCCCTATCTAATCTACACAGCCCACTCATCATTATGAAAACCTCTATCCAATCACCTACCAGCCTTCTTCTCTCCAAAGAGAACAGTCCCAACTTCTTCAATCTATCCTCATCAGTGAAATTTCTTATCCTTGGAACCATCCTTGTAAATCGCTTTTGGACTCTCTCCAAAGTGTTCACATCCTGCCTATAATGTGATGCCCACAACTGTACACAATACTCCAACTGAGGTCCAACAAGTGTCTTATGCAAGTTCAACATCACGTCCTTGCAATTGTCCACTTATGTCCCCCTTAATAAAGGTGAGGACACTGGATACTTTATTAACTCTCCATCTGACCTGCCACCATTAGTGATCTGTGCACATATGCGTCCAGGTCCCTCGGCTTCTGCAGCCCCTTTAGAAATATATACACCCGCCCACCCTACTTTATATTGTCCTTCAATATTCTTCTGACCAAAATGCATCACCCACATTTCTCAGCCTTGAACCCCATCTGTCATGTCACCTATCCAGCCACTCCTTTAACAGGTCCATGTCCTTTTGGAGTTCTATACCATCCTCCTCACAGTTTACAATTCACACAAGTTTCATGTCATCTGAAAGATATATATAGACATTAAAAAATAAACTTAAAAGTTGTTCTTGGACAGTAGGCAACAAAGACAAGATTATATTGATTGTGCAGCCCTAGTTAACCTGAGATGTAGTGATGAAAGGCCTTCAACTTGAACTTCAGGGCCTGGTAGTAATGGCACACCCGTTATGGGGATTAGGTTGATAATTCCAGTGAAGGACTGGGGACATTATCAGGTCAAAGACAGTGCACAACTCTGAGGCACGTATTATATTCCAAAGGTTGTTTCACCAATAATCCATTCAAGCTCAAGCTATCTTCCTTCCCTGTGCAGTCAAATGCCCTTGAGATGAAGACTTGTTTTTCCTTCGCTTTTACTTGAAATTACAACAATTTCACATCTACTGGCACTTTAAAGTGAATGATCAATAATCACACCCCAAAGTTCTCCCTTCCCTTTCACTGCTAATGGATGGCCCTTCATCATGCACACACATCTGCTGCTCACTGTTCCAGTATGAATCAGTGTACATTCATCTACATTAAAGAAACATCTGTTCAGACCATGGCAGTGGGAACTCTGCATGAATAGTTTAAAGGGATGGTACCTTCATTGCAAAGTAGGCTTGTCAAATTTTTATTTACTAGAATTATAAGATGGGTATCAATCAAAGCATCACAGTATCGAAAACCGGTGGTGACAGAGAAAACCCTCTCCCCTCACTATCTCTATAGCCTCCTGCAGCCCCATGATGTTCCCAGATTTCTGTGCTCTACTCAAAGCAGTCTCTTGTGCAACCCAATTTTGATCATCCCACATTGGTGGTTAGATCTTCAGCTGCATAGATTCTAAGCTATGGAACTCTGTTCCTTAACATCTCTGTCTTTCTC